ACACACACACACACACACACACACACACACACACACACACACACACAAACCATAAACTTATATACACAATCATCATTCACAGTCATCTTAAAATCCTCATTATATTATAATGACAGAAAGTAAAAACAATGTTTATCGCATAATATGCAACTAAAATATATCAGAAGTCCATTAGGAAGCAGTGGTGTAAGATCTGAAGTGATTTTGAAGGTGTTTTTTTCACAATGACTGCACAGAAAAAAATGATTTTCCCTTTGAACATACATAACTCAATATTTGGCAAGCTGAAAGAGTCAGTCTTCCTTTGCAACTTTGCATGCATATTTGTTTCCTGACAGTTGGCCTGTTGTCTTGTTCTGGCATGTTCTTCAACACAAGGAGCAATAATCCTAAATGCTCATCAGCTCCTCGTGAGGATTAATGGGGTTTCACTATATCTCACAGGGTCTAAAATGTGTGGCGAGGACAGATTACTTCAATTCACCTTCCACCCGCTCAGTGATTCAATGATAAGGAAAGCCCACCATCATTTGTCAGCACAGAATGACCTGCAGAGGGAGAGAGAGATACTTGCAATTTGTAACACACATGTCTGGGCTCATCTTCAAACTTCAATACTGGAGGCATCATTTATGTAATTATAAGGAATAAGAGAATAAATAAATAAAAAGACTAAAACCGAAATAGGGGAAAATACAGACACATCCTCAAGCTTTTTCTTTTTCCTGTGACAAAATCTGTGATTGATTTATCTCCTGCAAAATTGGATGTGATTTCTTTTTTCCCAAACAGCCTATCCATAAATAAATGTCAAAACACATATGAAGTATAATTTAGTATGTTGGTGTTTCCACATGATTTGAAAGTGTGAACAAAACACTATTGGTTTCTGCTGATTGATTCAGAATAAAAGAGACCTCAAGCAAGAACCGATTTCATTCTCCATGTTGAGCTCTGTTTCACAACATTTATGTGTTTAGATCAGCTTGAAAAAGGAAAATGAATTCACCTTACATAAATCATCATCAGTCTGGTTCATGAAACCCTCTTGGTTAATGAATGTTGACAAAACTACTGGCATTAGACAAACGGATCAACTTTGATTTTGAATTTTCCTGCGCATTACAGTCACGTCATGTGTGATCATTGTAATATGAATTGGGTCCCGGTCTCAATCGATGCATGTTTGGCGGTCATGTGGAACTCCAAAGTCTGGTGTCAGGTCTATTTCCTAATAAACAATAAGAAAATAAAAATAATTGTGAGTTTTTCTTTGTTTTATTGTTTATTTTGTGTTTTAAAGAATGGTTATCTGAAAGTTGTCCCATAGTTGGACAAAGGTACATAGCACATGCTCTGGAAATATTTGTCGCCCAGAGCTCAGACAACCCACTGGACTCTTAGTAACTATCTGCTAAAAGCAGTTAGGAATGTGGCTGGCTAAACTGGTATTGAGAAGGGAGACGGTGGGAGGTCAGGGGTCCGTTGTTTACCTACCAGATCAACCGCAATCTATTCAGTTATCTGGGTGTTTCTGTCAAACCTCCTTCTGTCACTCACTCCCAAGGCTTTTTGTGTTCTATAATCACTCTACAACTTGTGCTCCCACTATTTACGGTCTTTGAGGCTTAGAAAATGTATATTTTATCTTTCCTTTTCATAGAGGGTCCCCTTATATTGAAGAAGGATTTATTTTTGAATATTACTGAACCAAACATTTTTTGACGTTATCTATTTACCATAAAGAGCATTTATATTTAAATGCATTTGAATCTACATCGTAACTGATGTCAATGATGTCATTTGCAGCCAAGAGTTGGGTTTGGCAAGGAACGATATGGAACAGTATCTTTGGATAACAGAGAGAATTATGACTTTTAAATGGATGTGTTTCTCCCTCTTTCTGTGGTTTGAGACTCATCCCCTTCGAGACATTACGGTTTGGCTTCTTTTCTCTGAACGTTCTCTGGGACAGCGGTTCCTTTACAAAGGCCTGTTGTAGCTTGGACGCTAGACACGCTATCTTTGGTAATTTTCCAAATAGACAAGGTCCTCACAAGTCCTATCTTAGAGCATGTCTCAACTGAATACCACAGACTTTCTGGAATTAATTAGGCTTCTGGCAGGGCTATTATCAGCCTTCACAGGTATCGACACAGTATCGGCTTATGTTTTGGCAGATGTCACCGGCAGTATTAACAGGTATAGGTGACCAATTATTTCAGCTCATTACTTTCAGCGAGCACTATGCCTATTTAAAGATTATTAACTTCACGCAACTTAATGCAAACTCACTTCACATTATGTTATACCTTTAAAACATGTTCATGTACAAAATAGTGCAACACCCAATGATGTCTTTTTAGTATTTTGATGAGGTTGAACATGCACAAAATAGATGTTTCTGTTTTGTGGAAAGAGGAACTCATTGTCAGGTGATTTTGTCTACATTAAAGATCTACACAAGGTTGGATGACTACTCTGGTAAAGTTGCAGGGTGTGGCGAAACACACCTTGTTGTTTTATATAATGGGCTTTAAACCAGTATATGCCTGCCCCTGAACTAGCAGTCCACGACCTTTAACCTGAGGTGATTCAGCCTCCAGCCTCGCTGTGGCCAAGCACCGGTCTGAACAAGCATCAGTGCAGCAATGCTGGGCTGAGATTAGACTGATGGTGGAGATAACCTGGCCTGGTCTGCAAAAACTTTACTCCGTGAACTGGCCCGGGGTGTTTTAATGTTGAGATGTATTGGACTATGTAGTGCGCTGTGAGTGAAGTTCAAAGCTTGGATACATCCTCCAGCTTCAAACCTCTGATCTTCACTGTGAAGTGACCGTTAACTAACTAATGACATATCAGAACATTTGGCTCCATTATCATCATCATCACAATCACCATCATCATTAATATTATGATTCTAGTCATCGCTTTTCTATCACTCAGACATCCTGATCAAATCTATTTTGATCATAGGTGTGCCACTTGTATAGTCTATGTGGATAGCTTACACTAGATCTGCAGAAATCAGAAAACTGACAGGTTACTATGTGACAGCGTCGTACTCCACACACTTCTGTGTAAGAAGTGAGACCCCACACACTCTCGTCAGTTATAAACGTGATTTGGGAACGCAATCTCATCCATGCGTCCAAGGAGCGTCCTATATGGGAGGGAAGAGGCGGAGGAGGTGGAGAGCAGAGGGAGGGAGTGATGGTGAGAGGGAGAAATTGAATGAGAGGGGCAGAGCGAAACTGAGAGGAGCCACCACAACAAAACTTCTCCAACAATCAAGCAAGTGGAACTACAGACTGACTTCTCTCCTTTTTCTCCCCGCATGGCCGCTGAGTTCCTGCAATTATAACTTCAGTGTAAAGTTCTGGTGGCGGAGGCAGAGGGGGGGAGGGGGGGGTCTCCGCTTGGAAAGATGGACCATTTAATAAGGACCAAGTCGCGCAGGAGAATACCGCTATTTATTTGTATCCTGCTTCACGTGACGACGACACACACTGGTAAAGTATCTCGTTGAACATGAATGATGTGCTGTCCACTTCATCGAACATTATTCGAACGTTATTGGCGCAAAAGCATACTCTTTACTCTTGTATTTTTAAGTTTCACTTTTGGATCCCTCACAAACCCGCAAATGCAATTACGCACAAGTTGTTTTCTGTATGCGCACATATTAATTATCCGCGTTGTTGCACGGAGAAGCCCATTCGGGTTGATTTTGGCGTTTCCTCCTCCAGCTTGCGTTTTAATCGAACACATTTCAAAGCTTCTGAATTTGGACGCGTCCTTATTCCTTCCTGCGCCAGGTGAGCTGGAGGACGTGCAGCGACCCCTCCGGGAGATGATGTCACGTTTGCGTTTGCTTGTGACCAGCGTCGGTTTGCTGTGAAACAGGTTTAACGTTGGCTTGAGAAAGAGGTGAATGCCTGAACACTGACCGAACCGAGTAGATTAAAATTCCTGTCATGGATCCGTTTAATGTGCCCTCTGCTCACATAGGTCTTAAGTGAAGGCGCTTAGCACTAACACTCTTACTGACTTAGTTATGATTATTCTGGCACACTTAAATATCTTACATTTTCTATTGCAGGTGACTATAGCTCAGCTCATATTTCACACACTTTAGTCGCAGTATGTCTTGTATAGGAGTGAAATAGCTGGACTTTTTTTTTCATAATCCACCTGTAAGAAGAGGGCCTGGTCTCTGTCAAACATCTGTCACTCTCTGTCTGTCTATCACAGTGTCCACATTTGTAGCACTTTCAGGATTGTTCAGCAAGTGCTGCACCCATTTTAAGACTTCCCTTTTCCCAAGATAGCCAGAAACGGATCAGCTTGTGCATATATATTGTATGTCATTTGGCCCACTGCTATCTGTCACCCACACAGGTCTCCATGCCCTGTGGCTGTGTCCTATGTATCTCCAACCGGCAGCAGACTCTTGTTGCAGGTGTTGGGGTTTAGAGACTCCCTGGTGGAGCGACATGCCCCAACAGCAGGACTTAACCCTGGTCACCAGGAGTGCTTAAAGATGGCTCTTTTTTCCGCTGGTGGCTTTTCACATGCACCCACGTTATGGCTGGCAGGATTTGTTGGAATTGGCTGACATAAAGCGATGGCAAGGGGGAAGAGAGCCAACTGACATAATCACATTCATGTGGCTCAGCAGCTGTGGTGTCCAACGCTATCTAATGAGGGCCTGTGAAGTGAGGGGCTGAGATGATTTTAAAGTGCATGGGACATATGGCGGTGCTGATATGGCGGTCTCAGACACGTGCATGTGCTTGATAAAGTGTTTGCATCTGTGCGTGTTTGCGTGCATGTGTGTGTGTGTATTACAGTGCCAGAATGTTTTCCCATATGCTTTCTGTGTGTGTTCAGCAGAGATGAGAGGACTTTGTAGTCATGTTTGCTTACAGGAAGTGAGAAATTCTTGCACACGTCCACGGCTAGTTTCAGTTAAAATCCTCTGTTCTTTTGCCTCAACACATTTTTGCTCAGTTTTTCCTTTCCTTCTTTTATTTTTTTTCTGTTCCCGGGAATAGGCAGTGTTTGTTTTCATTCTATATGCCTTATCTCTTCTTTTACATCACCGTTCTCTTGCTCTTGCCCTGCCTCATCCTTGACTGGTTCTACGAGAGAGGGGAAATCGTGCATACAGCCCCCCTCACTGTGTCCCGTTTGATCGAGCCTCCTTGCCAATTCTGCACCAGACTCCCAAAGGAGGACATCAAGCCTTGTTCGCCTTTGATCCAGCAACAAATTAGTGGCAAAGCAAAACAAATGGAAAAACGCAGCCAAAATTAGCAGGATAGAGAACAGGAAAAGAGGAATTGTACGCCTGTTACAGCGCTAGCGTTTTCTTCTGTTTTGTGAGTTTGTGTTTCTGTCATGAAAACATTAAACATCAGAAGTGTCAGCCATGCTGATGTGTGTCCCTAGTTGCTGATGCTGCAAGTGCCATATCAAACTGCTCATCAGACTTTTTGATGAGGCAAACTGTTTGGAGTTCCCCCAAGTCTTTAAATATGTAGAACTTTTGCTTAAACACTTTATGGTGCCGGACTGCAATCTATAGTATTCAACACACATCTGGCTTCCAGAAGCTCGGTAAATCCCTTCCCCTCAAGCCTCTATGGCTCTGAGTTTCTCATCACTGGATGATTCAAGAAGCTTTCTGTGGGACTAGTTGAAGATGTTCCTTGTAGAATTGCAATGAGCAGACATCAGAGGGGCTGCCTTCTTTGCAGTGTCTACTTACATGTCATCTGCCTCTTTATCCCACTTTATGGGCCTCAGAACAGTTTTATAATAGCCATCCATCACATGCACTACTGTGGCAACAGTAGTAAAGCTTTCCCTCCAAAGCCATCTGTAGAGTCTCTGAAACAAGATGCTACCCTCAGTGACATCCGGACCTAGCTCATTGTTCAACTTCTCTGAACCTGCCAAGTGTCCTTTAGACACTAAGCTGCCCACAACTTGTTAAGAATTTCTTTAAAACGTCCCTCAGAAGTACAAGGATCATAACTTCTAAAGGAGCATGTGTATATACCTGTCTGACACAAGGCTGTGTGTGTGTGTAGCATTTAGTGTTATTCTTTGATTTTTGCCAGCTCTGGGGTTACACATCATAATAGCTGCCTCAATGTTATGATGTCTGAGAGACCAAATGACAGCTTGGGGCTGAAACTTGAATGGGCTTGGTCATGTGTACACTTGCATGTTAATCCTCTGTGCCTGAGGTATGTATGAAAATGTGCATTCGAAATTCTGTGAGCGCACTTGTGTTTGTATTTGTTGGGGTGGTGTGTTATGTTGCATATTTACGAGGACCTGATATCCTCAGAAAGATAAAAAGATGAGAAAAGATCAGGTCATTTTAAACCCCCACCTCTTAAAGTGAGTTTAGTTGAAATGGCGTCAGGCTAGGTTAAGGGGTCGGTGGTTATCATGCAGTGGAAATTATGGTTAGGGAATGGATTTGCTGTTGTCAGAGCAGTAAAAAGAACATCCTCACAAGTATAGAAGTACAAATGTGTCTGTGGAGGGCCTGTCCAGTTATGGGCTTTGAGGGGCAGGTGTTTTCTCTATGGGCCAAGCTGCTTTTGGCCTGTCGGCCCATCATGCTGTGAACAAACATGACGAGAACAAACTGTGGAGATTCAAGAATGTGGTGCTGATGTGATTTGGAAGGAAATGTGTAACCACATGCCACCAGAATCTTGCAGCTTCAACACCAAAAGTAACAAGACACTGACCCATATTCAGCAGGCATTTCATATGCATATGCATATATATATATAGGAAGAGCTACAAGGCAAGGCAATATATATATATATATATATATAAATATACACATATATATATATACATATATATATGTACATATATACATAAAATAAGATGAATTAAAGACTCAATGCTAGGCACTGACTGTTGGTCACTTCCATCATCGCTGTCATTGTCTCTTAATAATATTCATGACTTCATAACCCTTCAGAATATGTTTAAAGCCGTTCCCAGCAGTCGTCTATACAACCGCTGACTTGACTTGCTCCTAAACTCTCTGCGATAACTCAAACCAGACCCAACCACAAAGCACGTTCAGTGCGATAGCTATCACTGCCTCTCAGTTTGCATACTTCCAGCCCAACAAATGTCCTTATGTTACAGTAAATTTACATTTGTCATCGATGCTTCAATATGCTCTTCTTTGTTTCAATAACCTCTTTTTTTACAAGGAAAAGAGCAAAGTGTTTGACAGCTAAAATAATAGTGATTCATCTTGACTAGGTTAGAGGCCCAAAGTGCTGTTTTTTCCCCTTCTGTGGGTGTTATAATAGAGCTGCATATAAACAGCGTGTGCAGGTCAAACTAGTGTGAATTTCAGTACAAGCAATCTTATTCATCAATCTTATTTGTCTGTTCATGTGCTACATTTGTTCATAGCGTGTATTAGCTCTCCTGCACCTCACAGTGCTCTTGTCCACACACAGCGGTGACCCAGACAAAAGGTCACACCCACTGCTAATTAGATTAAGGCTGTTCTTCATGGAGCCTGAGAGAAACTGTGTCTTGATTTATTCAACCACTTCCACTGGATCTGTCTCAGATTTTTCATTATTTAATCACCATATGTGTGTTGCAGCTTGTCGCTTTTACGTTTTATGTAGAAATGCCCCGTCAATATGTTCTTTGGTATTTCAGAAGGAAAGCTGCTTTTCCTCCCCTCATGTCAGGGTGTGGTCCAAGATACTATGGGAGACTATCATTACCCAGATTCATTTTGGCTTCATTTCTCGTTAAAATTCCCGTTTCCAGGTGCAATCGTTTCTGACAGAGTGGTATTCTGTGTGTGTGCGAGGGGTCTTTTCAGGCTGAGCTGGGAGTGTAGGTGGTGTGAGTCATAAAGAATGTCTTCAGAGACATTTGCTTTAGAAACACAGAGCACACATTATGTCCATGTATGACCTAATTGGTGCTGAGTTGTATGACCGCTGGGCACGGAGAGACTGTGTCAAGTGTCACAAAAGCCAGAGAACATACACAGATGGAGACTGTTTGGTGGCATTTTCCGGGGCATAGAGCATAATCTGTGAGGTGGAGTGTTTAGCTCTTTTTCTGTCAGGAAGACTGTGGACAGCTCTGTTGCTGGACAGAGACGGTTGTCTCATTGAAAAAAGTACAAGAAAAAAAAGAAAAGGCAGAAATGCCAGATGTCGGTGAAATTGCTGGATATTTCAGCTCCTTCCCAGTTCCCATGTACTCTGACCTTTTGGTGTGATTGGAAAACACTCTGACTCATTAGTCCTGAGAGATTCTACGATGCTATATCAAACACGTGGAGCCATATCATTGAGTGGTGGGGGTACCGCGCTGCCCAGGCCGACAGAATAACCATCAAGATCGCAAGTTCTGTCAGTGGCCATACCATGTGTTGATCTAATTTACACTCAGCCTCTCGCTTCTCTAGAAGTAACATCATTTGACAGGTGAGGTCCTGTAAGGACACGACTACTACAAAGCCTAATGAGATGCAAGCAAAGCCTGCTCAGACAGTCAGTGCTGCAGGATAGGTAATGCTGCAAGCATTGGCTCAACTTAAGGTGACACAAATGGATCCAAAGCAAGGAATAGATAACTCTCTTTTATTGATTGCTTCATGGATCCAGAGTTTATATGGCCGCCTGCCACACGCTTGGGGTTTTGCTCTTGACTGCAGAATCACCGGTGGTGGTATTGATATGGTGAAATACAGGATACTCCACAGGAACTTGTTTGTATTCTATGTGGGTCATGCATGAATTCAACAAGCTTTTGATGTTGTTGCTCGCAGCAGATGTTGTTGCTTGCATCCTCTAAAGTCCAGCACAAGTTTTTCCCACGTTCTTTGAATCAGCTTCCTAAACTTTCTTCACAACAGTTTACTTTGCACACTTGGATGTGGGATGCCTATTATTCCCTGCATGTTTGACTGACAGATCATTGTGAATGCGGTTTCTTTTTTTTTGGAGGAAGTTCTGCTGCTTGTCTCAGATTTCTCCCTTTGGCCTTGTTGCACATCTTGACTGTTCTCTGTTGTCTTGAGAGTGTAAGAGGTCAACAGTATCCTGACAGACCGTAGCTGGAACAACAGGACAATGGTTATTTTTAAAACTCATAGTTGAGTTACATTGAGGCAGAAATGTACTTTATATGGTTCATGGGTTGCACTCACGTCTCATCTTTGGATTACTTGAAATTAATCAAAATATTTTTAGACCATTTTGTCAGGTGCTGCTCCAGACAGAAACCCAAGGATTCTGTATAATTAGACCCATGCTGCTTCAATTTAGAACTATTCAGCCTGTTCCAAACATCCCTGCCTTATGACCTCTCTCCCAGTGCATGAGTATGTATGAGAGATAGAGAAATAACAAGATAGATATTTACTGTGGGAGAGATTTGTTTACTGGATTCTGACCTTTGACTAAAACACCAACTTTAGACTTTGCTATCCCAAAGGAAATTGATTTGGAGTTAAGGCCACAACAGAGCTCCAAAGAGCTCATTTGGAGTTAAATATAAATATCAAAGACTAGGACCCAGACATGACGTAACATGCTAAGTAAACTGCTGTGCTTTGAAAGAAAGGCAGATATGTATTTAAAGGTGCTATATATGAGATTGGGAACATTTCTACTGCCTCTCAGCAGCTCTCAACATAGCGATGGCTCGCGGCTGCTAACAAGTGCTGCTAACGGCGGTAACAGTGCTAACGGCAGCAAAAGACGGGGACCCAGAGGATGTGTTCCATGTTCCACAACAACCATCAGCTGTAACTGCCGTATGAGGCCGTGCAGAGCAGCATCAGTGAGCTAGTCAGTGGGGCATAAACTATATGTAAATAAAGCTCAGAAAAGCTCGGATTACAACACACACAGAGGGAGAGAGACCTCATTCTCTGCTCAGGTAGACATTACTCCACTACATTTCTACATAGCAAATAGTTGTTTGCTGCTGTATTAATGCTCTGTAAATTGAATAAAGCATCTTTCAGCTTTTAGCTACAAGAATAAAAGAGAGGGCGGGTCTTTGTTCTTTGCCTCTGAAGTGGCAGTCTGATCAGGGCAATCAAGGATGCAGCTAGCCTTTTGACTTTATTTGCAAACTTAACCAGAATTGTCAATTTATTTTATTTCATCAGGGCAAAAAGACAAAAAAGCCTTCATGTGAATGTGAGAATGGGAAGTCAGAAACAATGCCAGTGTCTTGATTTAAATGTGGGTGACTTGTTTGTGACCTTTTAAAGTCAATACCTTATTCCTTGACATTTAGGTCTTTGTTCACTGTCACAATGGCTAGAGCAGATTTGAAAATAATCCCAAAAGACTGTGTGTGGCTGGGTTACTGGTGCCACTCGCACATATAACTGCCTGAGTTTTCTGTTGTTAGAAGCCAGCAACGTCTGTAATTATTTAATTTACACTGCTTCTTTATATAAATTCAAAATTCAAGCCTTAAGGTCTTAAATACCTTTAGATCTGTACCTAATGTTTTCTATTGTTGGAGCCTGGCTGTAATTCACAGCTTAACCTATTTACAACCCTGTTGCCATGCTAGGGGACTGGGCTCTCAAAGCTGCTTGCAATAAATGGCCTCTGCTATGCAAATAAATAATGCCATAAAATGTAACGTGGTGTTTTTCTGCAAGCAATGTCTGGGCATCGGTATACCCTCTCCACATGTTTAATTAACAAGGAGAATAAAAGGCCAGCTCTGTATGAGCGGCAAGAGCTACAGGAGGCAATTTGGGTTTAGGATCCTCTTTTCAGATGCCTGGAATGCTAAGTGCTGAGTTGCCCTGAAACGGCTCTCACTAGCAGCTGGTGGGAGTCTGGCAGCGCCAAAAAACTCTGATCCTGGCTCATGCTCACGGCAGCACTTTATCAAGAGAACATCTGATAACATGACTGCAAATAAAGCTCAGGCTCACTGTAATGAGAGGACCAACACTGGGAGAAACCGCATATCTACGGAGGCATTTGTTCATCAAATAAATCCCCAATCTTAACAAATCATAAGAGCCGTTCTCCTGTTTGTTATTAAAGTCAACTTGTTTCAAGAGTTTTAATGAGAATACCATCTGTTGATATTATTGCACCAATTGGCCTTATCCTGACTTGTTTCCAGATATTTAGACGCACTTTTGAAAACCACCTGAAACAAAGGGGATTGCATGGAGAACAAATAAAAAAATAATATTGGCAGAATTTAAATTTTTTTGTTCTTCAGGAAAATAAGCTTTTGAAGGTTCAATACAGAACTAGCTGATTTGTCAGAACAGATGTTTTAGCAGAGAGAATATATAAATCACTGATGTGCTTATTTGTGCCAGTGAAATGTTGAAATTGTGATGAATGCGATGCGGACATATTGTTGCTCTCTGGTACAGGTGTCAGCTGTCAGGTGTGCTGCAGTAGGATTATGGGTTAGACTGTGTACCACCCCTATCCTATAATAACACCCACACAAGAAGCCTGGCCACCTGCCGCCACATCTCAGAGGAGCCCGTCTCTTCCGACTCCTAGGAAGCAGGAAGCCTCCAGCCACACTAAACCCTGCTCTTCAGCTCGGTAACAACCAGCACTTAACTGAGCCAGACAACAAAGTGCTGTCACACTGGCAGAGATTAAGTGTTACACTGACATAACTAAAAACATGCTGCCACAGTCTGCCACAAGTTCCACCCTATCATAAGTCATTTTTATAGTTTTTCACACAATGCTAGAAACAGCAATAATAAGAAAGCAGGACATCCGCTTTTTTTAAAAGAATCAATATCTTATTTCAAGAGATATAATTAGCAACAGTCTGTGAGCGTGAAATAAAACGCACCACCATGTTTCTCCTATCTGCTCGATAAAAATGTGTAAATTGCTTCTTTTTTTTCCATTTCCAGCTGATCCCATTGATGTTCTGCAAGTGCTGGAACTGTCAGAGTACATGGACGGGGTGTCTCTGGAGACTGGTCTCTGCACCAGCAGGAGGGGCTTTGAGGAGCCGGACCTGGCCTACAAGATAGACAAAAAGATTCAGCTCAGTGCTCCAACCAAACAGATTTTCCCTGGTAGTGAACTTATTTGTCCAATGAAGATGTCTAATGATGGGGAAAAAAGCCCTGAAATGTGTCACTTTTGAGAGTGTTTCTTCCCTCAGTAAATCATTCAGAGATCTGACTTTGAACTCCCTTTTACCCCTCCTCGTGGGTACTCACTGCTTTCATGGGCAATATTTTTCATCATTATTATCTTCACTAAGGTCTCACTGGCAGTGGGTGGTGCCTTGCATGTTATATAATATCGGCTCCCTGCTGTTCTCTAACAGCTCCTCTCCTCTCCTTCCCAGATTCAACCATATTTCCTGAGAATTTCTCCGTGATGGCTACAGTGCGAGCTAAAATGGGCTCCCAGTTCTTCCTGCTTTCAGTGTATGATGACCAGGGGGTGCAGCAGCTGGGCCTGGAAGTGGGCCGTTCACCCGTCTTCCTGTACGAGGACCAGCATGGGCAGCCCACACCAGAAATGTATCCCATCTTCAAAAAGATCAACCTGGCTGATGGAAAGTGGGTAGTTTGAGGGCCTATGACGTCTCCATTAGAACAGATATTAATGACACATGTGCCTTTCTGTTGATTTGACTGCACATTGTATGTTGTGTGTTCAATAGATCAGGTTTACCAGCACTGTGTAATTTATATTAACTGTTCATGTATAACTTTCCCGACAGGGCTGATTGATAAAGCTCACTTCATGTTGTTGACATTGATCCTAAGGGAATAAGATGGTTGTGAAGCACTTGCATCAGTGATTTGACTTGATCATAGGAGTTAAGGAAATCAATCCTTCACACTCTCAGGCTCAAAGGCATTTCTGAATTGCTTGACTTGAAAGAGGTGTGAAACAGCTCTTTGCATCACTGATTCTGCGGGGCAACAGACAAAATATCTGTGTTGTTTCAGATGGCACAGGATAGCCTACAGTGTGCAGGGCAAGTCTGTGACCCTCTACCTGGACTGTCAGCGGAAAGAGACCCTGGATCTGCTGCGAGGGGACAACGCTGTAGTCAGCACAGCAGGTGTCACTGTGTTTGGGACACGGCTGCTGGACGAAGATGTATTTGAGGTAGGACATTATTTAAGCATGGGAGCCTCTGAAAGCAAGCGATTTACTTTGCTGTGTTCAAACAAATTTGAACACAGACCATGTACTGGAGAATACCGTTGCCAGCATGTGTGTTTTTTTGTGCATTTGTGCATTGAGGTAAACAGAATGCAATATATGAGGGTCAGTATCATGTGGACTTTGTGTTATTAGGTATAGGTTTAATCACAGGAGACATGAATGCATTACCATATACAGGACATCATATTGTTTATGATCTTTATAGTATGATACAATATATATTTGTGTCTGGAAAGTGGTGGAATAAGCTGAATATGAGTTGAATTTACGATCTTTATAGCTACTAAAGAAAAGATTTAAAAGTGAAAATCACGGTTCAAGGGGCTATGGGGTGACAGGGGTCTCCTGTCAATCAAGTGCTGCTAGAACAAAGCAATGCAGAGAAGAAGAGGGGGGGGGGGGGAAGGCTGTTCAGACATGCCCAGCCTCATCAAGCCAAGAAATTACAAATTCTCTTTGCTTTTTTGACTTGTCGGTATATTACTGTCGGCCAGCTGTGCATTTGGACATTAGAAACATGCTTGACTGTGAATGTGTGTTGTTCGGTAATGTCTTGTGATGGTCATCCTCTTGCAGAAAAAAATACCTGCTTCTTGTTCTTGTACACTTTCTTATTTGTTTAGCACTCAGCAGGAGAAGTGTATCACTGATTTAGTTACTGCTTAATTCATTCCAAATTGCGTCTACCAGAAAAATAAAATAGTTTGAACCTTTTTGAAGTTGAAGTACATATCTTCAGTTGAGGGCATTAGAAAATGTTTCCTGATGTGTATCAATATGCTGGGAAAACATGGAGGAGCAAGACGCTTCAAACTAAGCTCAGCTCGTTTTCTCAGCAGTAACCTTTATCGTCATGAGTCATTCTCTGTGCTTCCCATGACAATATGCAAGCCTTGCTCCATTGTCATTCCCAGTGAGGCTCCAGTCTAAATCTCTCGCCCACAGCATGACATAGAGATCAGCTCAAGCCCCTTCCCCTGTCATGCCCTCAGGGGTCTGTCTGCTTAGCAAAGGAGCAAGAAAGAAAATGAAAGACAGACAGAGGCATGAGGTACAGTCAAGTTTCTCTGTCCCCTCAGTGTCCAGAGAACATCCCACAGTTTGCAAAGGGTAACATACTATTAAACTTTAAGAGAGTAGCGAGGGAGGGTTGTTATTACTCCCTATTTGCCTAATAGACAGAAACCACAGCCTTCCTCACTTTCACCAGGAGAAAACCGGATGTCCATGGTCCTGACAAGTAAACACCTACTGCTTTTGGGTTTTGCGTGTGTAGTCAAGAACTACTTTCCAAACCTTACCTTCCCTATGACCTCACTTAACCTCAGCTGCCCCTCCCATGCTATAATAATAATAATAATAATAATAATACATTTTATTTATATAGCGCTTTTCATAAAACTCAAAGACACTTTACATTAAAATCATCATATATAAAAACTATAAGTTACTCTCAACTCCCTTCCTTCCCTTCCCACTCCAGTTAAGAAATGCGTCTCCTCGTGGGCTCTATAAATTTCCCTTTTCAGAAGCAATAGAGCTTGTTTCATTTTTTGGCCTTGCTCCAAAAACACTGCCTTGTCCTTATTCATCATCGTATGCATAGAGAGATATATGATGATACATTATTTGTGGTGATGACTTAAAAAGCCCTCAGTTCCATCCTTAGTCCAATCCATTGTGGTTATTGTTTTCATGTCGATCAAAATTTGCACTAAAATTGATTCTTAATATCTTGCTTTCTGTGGAGGAAGTGAAAAATCCTCAAATGAGCCATCTGTTTCAGATTTTTCATTGATACATGTGATGGTAAATATGAGTTTCAGTGTGTGCATTTGCAGCGTGCATTGACAGCTCTGTATGTCTGGCTGTGCATATCTAAGCATCCGTGTACATCCCGGGCGAGGCTGGTACCAGGGGAGGAGAGAACGCAGGCTGACCTCTGGGCCTCTGTTCCCAGGCCCTGGTTCCGGGGAGGAGGCTGGTGTTCTGGCCCAGTTCTCCCAGCATGGGAGCTCAGCGTGGGAGTATGGGGACCGTGGTCAGCCACTAATGTCTCTATTGCTTCCAGATTGCACTACAAATGACTACACAAGTTTGGTGTTCAGACTCAACATATTTGCAAACCTCAGGCTGTCCGCAAGTCTGGTTGTGCTCCTTGGCAGCTGCGTGCCCTTTGTATGTGCCCTCAACACGCTGACTGCTTAGACAAGATCCAGACCAGCGTTTATTTGTTGGGAAATTCAGATCCTTTCCATCTCGATTAGTACTGGAAATTAGATGTTTTTGTCACACTGTTACATGCACGTCGAAGCCAAGATCTGTTACACATATCATTCAAGGGCAGCTTTATTTGAAGATTTTGCAATCCCATTATTTTAGCACACAAGGTCTGTTCAAGTCGTCATATCCGGTAATTACTCATGTCTGATTGTGGTCAGATGTTAGGTTAGTCATGATCATCTGTTGCACTTTCAGCAAATGAGAAGTTTGGAAAATTCTGTTTTATTACAGTTGCTCCTTCACCCACACTAGATCGTGACTCACGCAAGAGCATACGTTACTTTTTAAGAGATCGAGATCTGACTAAGACACAACTGAGAGGACAGTACCTCATATAAGGTCTAGTTAATCAGTATGACTGTTGGCTAGCTGGCACCACCCACATTATTGCAGACAGCAGGGGAAAGCAGAGGGGTCACTCTCTGAAACACCAACGAACCTTTGCCAACAGCGCCATGTGTGACCTCATGCGGGATGTTTGCGAGCCATCAGAAATTTATGGATTCAGCTGAGGTGTTTTCCTTTTTCAGCAAGTCAACTAATGTCTCTTCAGATGTCCTTGCCCCGTCCTGAATGGAGAACGGCAGAGCATGCATGATTTTGAGCAGCACTTAACTCGCCGTGTGTTTCTAGAGGAGAGAGCCCCTGCTAGGCAAGAAAAACAGGAAAACGTCTCTGTGAAAGTGTTGCCTTTGATCTCAAATTGAGATTGGATTAACTATCCCCGTTGCCTTTCTCTCTCACTCCTATCTGTCTCTCACCTCAGAGTGCAATAATTTCCTTTTGGTTGACGCTGGCTTGTGGCTATAACAGTAAGAAAAAATGATAAATGGATAACAACTTTCATGTTTGATGTCATAAACTAAAGCATAATGTCCACAGTCATTCCTATGTTTACAGTTTTCTATACGGTGATCCAGACTTTGCGTAGACTTCTATTAATGATAATAAGGCGTGAGCTGTAGTAGAAGATATATGAGCTAGTGGCCGGTAACGGAGAAGCGATATGTTTTGATTTATTTCACCTCTGGCCACTAAAGCTTTATTAAAGAGATTACAATGGGACTATAATTACCACAACATCAAGCAGTTAATCTGACTCGATTTATTGCAAATGACTGCCCAGCTGTCCCTGGATAACATTTCACCAGGCAATATGTTTGCAATGGCCTGTCAGTTACATAGATTCTTATCGTTAATGTCATCTAAACGTTGTCAAACATCGTGCCAAGGGGCCGCCTGCATTTTGTTTTTATTGAATTACTTCCTGACTTGCGTCTCAGAGAATTAGCACTGCAGGTACAGGGATTTTCACTATCAAATAATCGGTTGAATATACTTTATATATATAGTAATATACTACTTTATTTATTATTTAACTTGTAAAATATCAAAATATTGAAAAAAGCCCATTAAAATGTGTTTGAGCCTAACTTGTTTTATAAATAGTGCTGTCTTAATACTTATTTTCAAGTAATACATAATTGAGAAAAGCATTTGTAAACCACTGTTTGGTATTTTACTTGACAATGTTGTGCTTTAATACATCAATTGAGAATTAATCGACTAGTTATCTCAGCACTACAAAGCATTATGTAATTATGTAATGTGCACAGAAGACTAGAGTGATGCTGAGATGAGTGTAAGGCCATTAAAGCTAACAGAGGCTCTGGGCTCAGAGCTGCAGGGCCCAGCAGTGCAGTCTCTGTGCATGTTATTTTATAAACACTGGCTATGCCTCTGGGGCAGGATGGGAAGTGAAAGGTCCTGACAGGGGGGTGAGAGAGCTATTTGACTGTTTTGTGTACACAATCAAGCCCCTCCTGGACTTATGGGAACACACAAAAAAGCAATAGTCAGTAGCGATTGCACCAGTACTGACAGTGTGATGATGCTACTGTATTATAATTTGCTTTACATCTAGGTATGCGGACAGTTTTGTTGTTCTCATAGTGTCGTTAGTGTCACACGTTCAGTCTTCTGGTCCATGAAATATCTCTTCACTGTGCTGTATAGCAGCAGCTGTATGTTTCTGTCAATGCTCCATTGAGAAGACTCCCCTGCCTGCCATTATGTACTACGCTTGCCTATCATTTCTGTCTGCTTTCTGGTTTATTTCAGGGAGATATTCAGCAACTACTCATCCTGGAGGACCCGCAGGCTGCTGCTAACTACTGTGTAAACTACATACCAGACTGTGACTCTGCTTTGCCCTACAACAGCAAATCCCTGGCCCTGCAGGAGGTCAGTACTGCCACCAACAGGAGGCAACGCCTACTAGAACAGTTCTACAGACAGCTGATAGAGTGGGGTACAGCTTCAGGTCACCTTAATTGCTTGCAGACACAAAGGTCCGGATCTCTCAATTCATTCTATTGTTTCATTGTGTTTTCCACATTTCCTTTGAGGCCCTGTGTTTTATAATACGTTTTAAGAAATATGATGAGCTAAAGTGGACTTGCAGAAGCCCTTGCTTCACAGCCAACCAGTAAAACGAGCTCAAGCATGTCCATCAATAGAGCTATGTGTCCCTAAGATAGGATTTACAAGCGGCCAACAGCCCCAGCCAAGAAGAGGTCTGAGTACAGTGCAAATGACTGAGTGTTTGCGAAAAGAGACTTGAGCGATTAAGATAGAACAGGCTATCCGTCAAAGAATAAGTGTCTTCTTTTAAATGCAGCCAGCAGTGGAGCATTCTTAAGGTCAGGTGCTCTCTCTCACACACACACAAACACACACACACACAAACACACTCACACACACACACACACACACACACACACACACACACACACACACAC